TTCAAGGAGGAAAGGTCAGAGGTGGACTCGCGATCCCGACCCTCAAAAATTCATCACATTGCTCGTGTTGAAATCCGGGCAGGCTCCGTCCGACCACGCCGTTCGCTCTCTCCGCTGGGTCTGCCCGCCCGGCTGCACGCCCACGCTTTCCCCCCTCCTTCCCTTCTTTCCCTCAGCCTCTCTCCTTCTGTCTCTTTAACCCTTTTCTCCCCCGTTTCTCCCTTTCTCTAGTCCTCCCACCTTACCCGTCCTCTCTCTCTCTCTCTCTTTCTCTCTCTCTCTCTCTCTCTCTCTCTCTCTCTCTCTCTCTCTCTCTCTCTCTCTCTCTCTCTCTCTCTCTCTCCCTCCCTCCCTCCCTCCCTCCCTCCCTCCCTCCCTCCCTCCCTCTCCCCCTCTCCCTCTCTCCCTCTCTCTCTCTCTCTCTCTCTCTCTCTCTCTCTCTCTCTCTCTCTCTCTCTCTCTCTCTCTCTCTCTCTCTCTCTCTCTCTCTCTCTCTCTTTTCCCCTCTCCTCTCCCCCTTTCTCCCCTACTCCTTTTCCCCATCTCTCCCTCTCTCTCTTTTCACTCTTTCCCCCACTCTCCCTCCCTTCCTCCCCCCACTCTCTCTCCCATTCTGTCCCCCCTCTCTCTTTCCACTCTCTCCTCCACTCTCCCCCTCTCTCTTTCCACTCTCTCCTCCACTCTCCCCCTCTCTCTCTCCACTCTCTCCTCCACTCTCCCCCTCTCTCTTTCCACTCTCCTCCACTCTCCCCCTCTCTCTTTCCACTCTCTCCTCCACTCTCCCCCTCTAATCTCCCTTTTCTCCCCCTTGCTCTCCCCTCTCTCTATTCTCCCTCTTCTCTCCCTGTTTGCCGTCCCTGTGTACCTATCTGTCTGCCGACGGAGGAGGAGTCAGGTGGCTTGGCCGGGGAGCGCCTGGCTTGGTGTAATCGGCCGGGTCGGGCTTGCGTGGCGTGTGATTCAATTTGCTTTATTCGCGAGTGCTTCCGGATGCGGAGTTCGAGCCTCCTGTCTCGCTCGGGGGCCGTGATTTGTTCCGAGGGTAGGATGATGATGATGATAATGATGGTAGTAATTACAGTAATGATGATGATGATGATAATGGCGATCGCGATGATAGAGGTAAACATGGACGTCAAATGGAGCGCGTCCCTTCTCCTGGGCCGTAAATAAGAGCTTGTGAGCAGTAAACCTTGGCCATTTAAGTAATTGCAAAAACGCGCGAAGGGTTTAAAGTTTAAAGTGGTAGCTCTTTATGTCCGTTTTATCACTTGCCATTGGTGTGGGCTGAGTTTTGCTATTTAGCGTTGATAGGATAGGTTATTGCACGTGGAAACCGTTCGCGTTGCAAATCAGGGTTCGTGCAGGGTGCGTTGTCGCCCGGGGATAATTAGGTCTGTTAGCGTCGATATTCGATGGAGAGCTTAGCCTGTTGGCGTTAGACTAGCCCATAGATGGGGTTTCTCGGGGTTGCTCGCTGTTGCTTGCTGTCTCTTGCTGTTGCTAGACGTGGAAATAGCCGGCAGTCAGGGGAGAACAGGCGAGGAGAGATTTCCCCCTTTTTCCACGGTCGTCGGTTCACGCTTCGAAGCCGTCAATTTTAAAGCATATAGACGTACCATGGGGATTCTCCTCCTCTTTCTTCTCCTTCTCTTCCATCTCTTATTCCTTCTCCTTCTTCTCCTTCTCCTGCTCCTCCCCATCCTGTTTTTCCTGCTCCTCCCCCTCGTCCTCCTCCTCCTCGTCCTCGTCCTCCTCGTCCTCCTCCTCGTCCTCCTCCTCCTCCTCCTCCTCCTCCTCCTCCTCCTCCTTTCCCTCCTCCTCCTCCTCTTCCGTCCTCCTCCTCCTCCTCCTCCTTTCCCTCCTCCTCCTCCTCCTTTCCCCCCTCCCCCTCCTCCTCCTCCTCCTCCTCCTCCTTCTCCTTCTCCTTTCCCTCCACCTCCTCCTCTCCTTTCTCCACCACCTCTCCCTGCTCCTCTTCCTCCTCCTCCTCTCGCCCTCCTCCTCCTCTTCCTCCTTCTCCTCCTCCTCCGAGCAGTCGAGATGAAGGAGACTGATGCGATTATTCTATATATAAACCTCGGCTTGTCCCCAGCAAGCCTTGTGATTTTAATATTACACGCTATTAAAGGCGGGAGAAGCTCGTCGGGGAATGTAATTTCACCTGCGCGTCTGGCTCGTCGGGGCGGAGGCGCAGGGGGCGGAAAGGGGGAGAGGGGGGGGGGAGAGGAAGAGGAGGGGGGGGAGAGGAAGAGGAGGGGGGAGGGAAGGAGGAGGAGAAGGAGAAGAAAACGATAGGAAGTAGGGGGATGAGGAGGTGAAAAGGGAGAAGAAGAAGGGGTAGAAGGATAAGAAGGAGGAAGAAGAGAAGGGTGAGAAGGGGGAGAGCGAGCCACAGGGACGTCCTCCTCGAAGAGAAATGTCGGAAGCGGCGGCAGCGCGAGGTAATAAGGCGGCGGCCGACGGGGAATGAGCAACGAAGGGGCCGGGCGCCGTAACTCGCCTCCGCTCTTAATAATAGATCAGAGGGCGCTGCGACCACCTCCTTACGCGACCCTCATTCGGCCGCTTATTACTCCGATCAGCCCACGAGCCCTGCGCCCCCTGGGGTCGTGGGGCGCTCTCTCTCTCTCTCTCTCTCTCTCTCTCTCTCTCTCTCTCTCTCTCTCTCTCTCTCTCTCTCTCTCTCTCTCTCTCTCTCTCTCTCTCTCTCTCTCACACACACACACACACACACGCACACGCACGCACACAGACAGACAGACAGACAGACAGACAGACAGACAGACAGACAGACAGAGATTGAGGTTCGCCTTCAATATACGCTTGCCATCCATTAAGAAAAATTGAAAACGATAAACAATTGGCAAGGGACTTGTTATACAGATGCAATTGCGCTTTACGTTTATGCAACGCGGATCAGCAACACGGAAGGGATTGAATGCGCCGACGACAAAGAAAGGGGGGGGGGGATTTGAGGCCATCCGTGAACCTCGGGTGTTTATCGTTTCAAAGGCATCGCGGGTTTGTATCACACGTGTTGTAAGGATGGATTTGAGAACATGTTTCGTGTCTGTTTTTTTTTTTTTTTTTTTTTTTTTTTCTGGAGGAAGGATCGTAGCCGGAACCTGTTGACGAAGAGGTTTGATTGACTGATTTACTGAGCGATTAACTGTGATATTGACTGGCTGCGTCACTGACTGACTGACTGACTGAAAGACAGAAGGCGGAAGGGGTTGAAGAGAGCAGGGGATGTGGAGTGGTTTGTGCTGCATTTTTTTTATGAATAGAAACTTTATTTATGTTTGCAGTGTAGTTCCTGATAAAACTAAATGTTAGGATTTACTGGCGATTTCTGCCGTCTGACCAGGTTCAGAAATTAGAATAAGCACAAAAGTTTCATATTTTGCAATTCAAATCCAATATTCAATATTCAGATTCAATATTCACGTATATCCCTGGAAGAAGTACTTGCGAGTTTCGTCCGTCTGTCTGTCTGTCTGTCTTCCTCAGTATGCTTATCCGTGTGTCTGTTCAAGTGGTTATAACCTCGGCGCGTCTGCTGGATCGCATGTGTTTACGACCGCAAGCAGACTTGGGCAGTTTGGCTGGCCCTTTCATCCCCCGTGCTTTACTGCGCATGGCCATCAAGTCGGACATTACGAGAGAGGGACCTGAAAGCCAATCGTTTCACTTTACGGCGTCGCTCAGATTGCCAAGTGGCCGTGTTGATTCTTCGTGGCGTCGGCGCTTCCCTTCCGCGTCAGATGACCCGAAGGAGCTCCGGGAACTTGAGCTCGAGGCTGGTTCTTGCGCCGTTAGGGGGGCGGATGTTATAGGGGAGGGGGGGGGCATCTTTCTCTCGCCTCTTCCTGATCTTCTCTACTTCCTTTCTCCCTTCCTCATTCATTCTTCCTTGGAACTTACTTCCTTCTTTCCTCCCTTCCTTCCTTCTTTCCGTCCCGCCGTCCTTCCTCCTCACTCCATCACAATTTCTCACTCTTATTCTCAGTTATTCACTCTCCTTCAGCATGATCACGAAATCTAGCCGAGCCTATGATACACCAGACTTACCCGAAAAAAGACTCTAGAAGGGAAGTTTAAGGTGTCATGAATACGGAAGTGATCCTGAAGTGCTGTAACTTGGCTCGTCCGCGAGGCGGCTAATGACACGCGGCAAGGCATTCGTCGCCAAACTCGCCGAGTGGAATGATTTCGCCTACCCCCTCCTCCCTCTGTCCCCACTCTTCCCCTCCCTCCCTCCCCTTCTTCTCTTCTCTCCTTCCTCTTCCCTCCCCTCCCTCCCTCCCCTTCTTCTCTTCTCTCCCCTCCCTCCCTCTATTCCCCTGTTCCCTCTTCTTCCCTCCCCTCCTCCCCCTTGGCGCGAGGAACCCTCCGACGTCGGGATTTATGTGGTTCTATTTCTGCTGGCGTTGGAGTGATTTTTATTGTCGTCGTAGAGTGTGTTTTTGTGGGTCTTGTTATTCGCCCTTATAAGAAGTTTTCTCTCTGGATATCCCGTTTGTCATGAGCGAGGACTCGGCATACGCTGGTACTCAGACAAGGATTTATATCTGCCGTAAACGTCAGTAGTCTTAAAAGCAGACCGCTAGTTGAACGTGACATCAGTGGACGCTCTCGGGGAAAAGGACGACGTGGATTGTGTGGAGGGCGTGAAGGGCTTGATTCCCCCCGCCCCCCCTTTTCCGCAGGTTCAAATATCGAGAGGCTCAAGTGTGTCGAAGTACGGTGGACACGAGCTTTCCATCTTTTATTACCTGGCCTTATATCCGTCCCTTGTCGAGTATGACGAGACTTTTTCAAGCGAAGTATCTTACAATGATTTCCTTTTTTTCTGAGAAAGTACCTTGTCATGTTTTCTTATAGATTTTATGATACTATCTTACACGTTTTATATCTTGATGGGTTTTATTACTCTCTCCATTGATCCCTTCCGAACGCCTTTCTCCGTATTAATGAGACTCCCTTTGCAATTGCAG